TGGGATTACGTGGCTCCAGGATGAGGCATTACCTGACATAGGGGCATTTAGTTCTATCTGAAATTGCAACTAGTTCATTTGTTTTGGGGGGGAAGACCTTGAGTCTGTTATGGAAATAGCTTTTCGTGTCAGTTTTTTTCCATGTAAAATGAGACAAGATCACCTCCCTATCTGCTAGTAGTTGTGAAAAATACACCTTAGGACAGTGGTCGGCAAACTGCGGCTCGCGAGCCACATGCGGCTCTTTGGCCCCTTGAGTGTGGCTCTTCCACAAAATACCGACTTCTGCACATGGGCCACGAAGTTTCAGTCGCACTGTATGTGCGCTCCCGCACGTGGTATTTTGTGGAAGAGCCACACTCAAGGGGCCAAAGAGCCGCATGTGGCTCGAGAGCCTCAGTTTGCCGACCACTGCCTTAGGGGATTCAGATAGGAAGGGTCATCTAGATTTTGGAAGATGCTTGGCTCACTCCCTGACCTAAGTCAGGGACTCCCTTCAATCACACTAAGGATGAAATACTCCAACGGCTCTTCTTGGAGGAAAGGAGGTCAGAACGATGGCTACAGCTTCCTGAGTCAGTGCTAACCCTTGCAAAGGCCCTGCATGGAAGGCCTACTCATCTGGCAGATGACACCGAGGCTCAATGTCAGTAATTAGGCGGCAAAACCATGGCAAGAAGCTTTGCCTGACTCAAAGCCTTTTCATTTATACTAAGCTGCCTTTCTCTCCAGGGAAAAGTAAAACGCAAAGCAAAACCCAACAAGAAGAGTATCCTATAGGCTCCTTCAGCACTTTCAGTATTTGGTTTCTAAGAATCTATGTGCTAGGAGAGATTTCTCCTTGCACCTCATGAAATCCTCCCTGTTATGATTTATGTCCCCTTTCTCTTCTGGACACCAGAACACAAAACCAGTATATAAACCCAAGTTTGGAAAAATAAAGCCATTGCCCATCCCCGCGTGAACCCTGAAGCCCTTTCTTCTCCAGGCTGGACAAACCCCAGCCTTTTCTCCTGGCCGTAGCCCAGGTGTGGGAACCAGACCTCAGGAGGGGCGGGAGAGTGAACACATGGCCAAAGGGGCCAGGACGCCAAGGCCAGCCTGAGGGCAGTGATAAGGATGTAAACAAGGAGACTGGCACAGACAGGCAGGGAAAGATTAGCCCAGCTGGCAGTGGCCAGTGGAAAAATGGGTAGCAGTTCAGTGATGTCAAACATGCCAGGCGAGAAGGTGGTGAGAAATGAGTCCTGTCTTTGAGCTCTGAGAATGCCCAGGAGCAAACAAGAGAGAGAATGAGAGAGAATATAGTGGTTGAGGCATGAACTTTGGTTACCCAGTATGTGATGGGGGCCTATTTTGTGCAGGCTTTGAGATCATTATGAAATAATTTAGGTAAAACTCACAGGATAGTATCTTGCACATAACCAGCTCTCAAAAAGTAGTAGTCAATCTCATAGAAGAATTGCAGGAAGAATGATAGATTTAGAATGTCACCATTTTCAATCTCAAATGAAATATGTTCATGAATAAAACCTCAAATCATTAGGTGAAATGCTGATGGGGAGGCTTATAATGGATGGAGAAGGCTGACAACACCTGAATCTGAAACAATTTTAACGCAAAATGAGAGGCATTCTTTTACAATAAATGAAGGTATTTGGACCGCCTACCTCATGGCATATGCAAAAATTAACTCCAACTGCATCATACAACTAAATGTGTTAGAACTATAAAACTCTTACATGGAAAACACAAGCAACAAAGGAAAGAGTAGGTAAAGTATCATCATAGTTAAAACATGTTGGGCTTCAAAGGATACCACCAAGGAAGTGAAAAGGCGATTCACAGACTGAGAAAATTTTCACATTATTTACCTGATTAGTGACTTGCAGCTAGAATATATAAAGAACACTTACGACTCAAGAAGAAGAAGGTAACTGACCCAACTAAGAAATGGGCAAAGGATATTAATAGACAGTTCTCCAAAGAACACATGTGCAATAAACACAGGAATAGCTCCTCAACGTCACTGCCATCAAGGAAATGAAAATCAAAACCACATGGATACCACTTCATACCCACTAGGATGCCTATAATAGAAAGGACAGGTAGTAAATGTTAGTGAAGATGTGGAGAAACTAGAACCCTCCACACTGTTGATAGGAATGCAACATGGTGCAATCACTTTGGAAACTAGTTGGCAGTTCCTGAAACAGTTAACTATAGAGTTACCATATGATCTAATAATTCCACTTCTTGGTATAAATTTATTTCTGTAAATTACCTTAGAAGGAGGATTAGCTAAACCATCTTACCATAAATTAGACTGAGAGTGTGTTCAAGGGGAAAAATTATCTTAATACTAAGTAGAAACCACCTCTCATGGCGCTCCTGAGTACTGTAAAGTTGGGTTGGGAGATTCCTCTGAAAGATGAAGACAAAGGGACACCCTGGGACAGATCTGGACTTAATGGTTCAGGTTCCTTGAACTCGAATAAAGTGAATAAAGAAATCACTTTATTCACAATATTTCAAATATAGGATCGAAAGGAGTCAGCTTTATAGACCCCAGAATTCCCCAACGTGCATGCCAGCTCATCCTCCCAGGAGCCCAGGGGAGATGCTGGGACTTGTCATTAGCATCCTGGAATGGGACGGAGGAGGGGCAGGGAATTGCATTCCTTACACTGACTTCTGCAACCTGCCTTTTCCTCTCTGTCTTAGCTCTTGTTTTCTGGATAATTATGAGAGGGGGAAGGGATTGGTAATTGTTTAAGTCATAGGCTGCTGCTTTGATTTTTGATTCTTGAGGCAAAATATGTTATTGGAAACCTTTACTGGGGCTTTGGAAAGTCAACAGCAACGTAAATGAATAAAACACCATCCTTGCCCTTAAGTTTTCAATCCAGTGAGCAAGGTGGTAAGATTATACACGGTATTTATAGTACAAAGAACAAGAGTGTGAGCCATGCACTCTGACCACAGGGGAGCGAGATTAATTCTGCAGGGGAGGGGAAGGCAGAGCTGCCGTGAAGAAATGGTGGGCATACAGGGCTTTGGGGCATGCAGAAGATTGTGACAGGCAAATGCATCAAAAATAAATTCCTGGAGGAACAGCAAATATTTATTCCACAAACATTTGTTCATGATAACACCTGGGCAAAAATGTAGAAATAATTATAATCCACAGCCTTCTGAATCGAACCTCCCCCCCGCCCCCCCTATTAATACTGTGCAGTGGTTCCCTGGGAATAGTATATGCATATGCCACACTTTGGAATTCTCACTGTTTGTGAAAACTAGGAAGAAATACTTGTTTTGAATTCCATTAGGATTCTCTACTCCTGTCCAGCCTCTCTGTAGATGAGCTAAATGAGCAGGAAGAAGAATTAAAATGACACATGGAAAGTGATTTGGCTAAATCTTTTGAGAAGCCAATTTACAGCTGAATCAGCGAGCTTAATCCACTGACTGTGGGCTGTACTTTATATGTCTGTCTATATATATAAAGAATAGTTTCAGAAAAATTTGTCACTCTTTGGCTTAATTGTGAGTCAGTAGGTCCCCATTTGTGTGTGTGTGTGTGTGTGTGTGTGTGTGTGTGTGTGTGTGTATTGGAGGGAGAAGAACTTTGGGCACAAAGTGTGTACGTACTTGTGACAACGTGTGTGGAATGTGTGTGTAGAATGGGAGCCTTATAAGTGTGATTTTTTAAGTTGGAGGAGAGTGTATATGGAGAGAAGTGTGTGTGTGTGTGTGTGTGTGTGTGTGCGCGCGCGCGGCAGGTGGTGGACAAAAGTACAAGGACAGCCAGCCTCTTGGCAATCCAGACAGTGGTGTAAAATGTGAAGTGTTATAAAAGGTGATTGTTTTCCTTTTAGACCAGTACACAGGTCTTTCAGGAGTCCTTGACTTTCTCCTCCTCCCTGTCTTGTTAAAAAGGGATTAGAGTCCAATTAAGCCATTTAATCCCAAGGTAGAGATTCATGTTTAAAAACAAGATTTACAGCTTTAAAAAAATGCATCATGCAAGTTGAGGTTTGTCCTCTCAAGTTGCCACCTGCATGGTTCCAAAGAATGTTTTCAGCAGAATAGCCAACATGCAGTTCTTAATTACGTTGCCTCATACCTCCAGTCCTTCATGTGCTAAAGTACCCTTCAGCCCAAAGAGCCACATGCTGTTAGAAGTACTTCTGCTCTGGAGTGCCACAGTCGCCCTGGTTTCTTTCCCTTCAGCTGGCAACTCAGTGACCAGGCTTATTAAGAACAGCATTAAGAGCCAGTGCTTATTGGGTGCTTAGTATGTGCCCGGCATTGTGCTAAGCACTTTCCATACAGTATCGCATTAGATGCTCCATATGGAAACACCCAGGCCTGTCTTCAGGGGTGTGGAACATGTGTAGTCACACAAGGCTCAGTGCTCAGAAGGGCCCTCCACTTGTTTCATACTCTGCTGTTGCCATCTTGAAATTCTTAATCACTTCTGAGCAAGGGAGCTGCATTAGCATTTTTCACTGGGCCCTGCAAATTATGTAGCCAGCCCTCCAAACACCCAGTAACTCATAAATTATTTTTCTTCTTTTCCACATGATGCCCAGTATCTTGCTGGAGGACGGACCAGTAAATTTCAAATTGTGACGCCAGGACCCCCTCTGAAAAATGGGTGCCATTATCTCCTTGAAGGGAAGTTCTCTAGGGGAAAGGGACCATGTCAAGGCACTTAGCATGGGAAAGCAAAGCATCTGTGAGAATTTGACAAATCGTTAAACTCCTCTAAGCCTCGGTCTCCTCACCTGTAAAGTGGGGATAACACTAATCATGCCTAATTCACAGGCTGTTTCAAGGACGAGATGAGGTCACAACTCTGACACACAATACACTCGTTGTTATTACGCATTATGTGTGCTTAGCAGGTACTAAACATCCAATTTTGCTTGTGACATGGTGTGGATCACTTGACCAACTCCAAGGTGCCCTTATCCCGGGGGTCTGTTTCCTACCTGCCCCAAAGAACTGGGAAGAACATCTGCTTTCTCCACGTGCTGGCCGATCACAGAGGGGTTGCTAGAGCTGATAAGCACTGGGGTGCTGATCTCCACCATATGGCGCCCCGAGGGAGAATGGACCATCCTGTTGAGGGTGTTCAAGGCTGTTGTGATGGAGAGCTGCCCGGGCCCCTTCCTTCTGGACCCAGGGCCCCTTCGGAGGCTGGGCGTGTTGGTGGCTTTGCCTCTGGAGGAGGACACCAGGGACAGGCTTTTTGTGCGAGACGGGTGGTGGCCTTTGTTCTTCTCTAGCAGGTGTCTCGCGGTGAGGTTTGGCTGAGAAGACAAAAGGTTTGGTGAGAAGTTAGTCTTCCTGGTCTAATATGACCAACTAAGTCTTACCCAGGCGAGTCTGAAGCCAGTTCAGATGCCACCACCTCACTTGCCATTCCTGATTTGTAGAGTCTACCAATTTCTGTGGTGTAAATATCTACCAATGGTTCAACAACTGGCTAGCAAAATTCCTGAAAATGTAACAACCAGCTCTTGCAGTCTAGTACCAACTAGTTCTAGCACAACCACTGACTGCATTATATTTTGAATACCCTGCCCACCAAGGGCCCACATGAATTCATTTCCTCCAGAAACCTGAAATATGCTGACAAAACAGGGGTCTGTGTGAATAAAACTTTCCAGAACAAGTACTTAAATATGCGTCATTATGACTGTCACCAGTTGCCCTCTGAAACTACATCTAGTCCGTCTCATTATAATTTAGAAATTCAACTAAGTAAAAGGGAATATGCCCACTTAAGAACTTCTCAGGTGATTAAAATAATCAAGAGAGAAAAGTTTAAAGCAGATGCAGTTTATGTCTCAAGAAGCTTGTAATATTGTGAAAAAAATAATCAAGTAGGGGAGGAAGCATTGTGTTGTCCACTTTAAAGATAAGAAAGCTGAGGCCCAGGAGGGGTGACTTATAAATGGCCAAGCCAGCACGAAACAAGCAAATGAGAAAATGTCTGAGAGTAATAATGTTCTGCTGTGACAGTGACTGGGGGAGGTGGCTCCTTTAGACTGGGGATCCCGGAAAACCTGCTGAGAAGGGGACATTTAAGCTGAGACACAGATGGCAAGAAGGAACCAGCCCCGTGAAGCCTGGGTAGGAACAGGCCAGGCAGAGGGATTATAAATTAGTGGAAAAGTCTTAAAGAGGTGGCAGGGGGGCGGGGGAGGGAGGAGGAAAAGGGAGGTGTGGTGGGAGGGTGGTGGCAAGTTCAGCCTGTTGGAGAGTAAGACAAGGAAGAAAGAGAGAGGGCTGGAACAGAGCAAGTGAGAAGCAGGTGGTGGAGGAGACCACAGAGACAGGCAGGGGTTGGATCTCAAAGGGCCTGGGAAGCTTCATGTTTGTTTTAAGTGTAAGGAAGCTTTTGAAATAATTTAGGTAAAGGAGTGACATGATCTGATTTATGCTTTTGGAAGTTCCTGCTATACTTTGAGAGTTTCTTACAAAGTTAAACACATACTTAGCATCCAACCCAGCAATCCCACTCCTAGATAATTACCTGAGAGAAATGAAAACTTATGCTCACTCTAAAAATGATATGCAAATGTTTATAGCAGATTTAATCACAGTTGCCAACAAAGGAAGGGAAACAGCTACAATGCCTTTCAACTGGTGGATAAATAAACAAGCTCTGGCACATCCGTACAATGGAATATGATTCAATAATGAAAAGGGATGAACTACTTGCTACATGCAACACCATGGATGAATCTCAAATGCATTGTGCTAAGTGAAAGAAGCCAGACTCAAAAGGCCACATTCTGTTTGATTCCATTTCCATGACGTTCTGGAAAAAGGAAAACTATAGGAATAGAAAACAGATCAGTGTTTGCCAGGGGGTGGGAATCAGGGAAGGAGCTGACTACAAAGGGGCAGCATCACCTCATATTTTGGGGAGCGTTGGAACTATCTACATCTTGATGATGGTGTGGTTATTCTGAATACATTTACCTAAACATGTAGAATTGGACACCAAAAAGAGTAAATTTTATTGTATGTAAATAAAAATAAATACATAACAAGGTATTATTCCAGACTAGAAGGAGGGAGACCATTTAGGAATTTACTGAAACTGTTTAGGCAAGTTCTGACAGCCTTCTGGATTAGGGACAATGCCCTTCCAGTCCCCAGAGCACCTATCCCTCTATTGTTCATCCAGAAAGAGGACAATATACACTCTTCGAGTTGAATGAATAAACTTCTTCAGGGTCATTAACAGCTACAATGCAGTTAATGTTTTTCTGCTTCCACCTAATTGTTCTGTCCCCAGATGAGCAATACCATCAGGGACACTGAGAAAGGGCCTCTGTGACTCTTGGTTTGCCTTGTTCTCTGCCAGTGTGACTAATGGCTCAGTTGGGGAAGGATTGCACATCTCCTAAGTTTTCATCCACTCATTTGAAACAACATCCTCGAGGTTCATTGAGCTGAGCAAGATTCACATAACCTAGGCAGGCCCTGTTGGAGAAGTTCTGATAAGAATGGGTGTGAGCTCAGTGTTTGTTTTGCCACCTTTTTATCCAGGTGCAATTCAATAAATCCAATGCTACATTAACAAGAAAAATCCTGTTTATGCAAAAAACAAGAACAAAACACACCCATCCCATATCACTCTCATAAGAAAGCTTTCCTTCCTTCCAACTGTTTTGCATGGCACTGGAAATGCAGAACTTATTTAAAGAGTCCTCAGCAAGTGCTAGTCCTAATGAAACGACGGAAGTCAGAATCTAAGGGCTGCTTTAGAAAGCTCAATGTAGGTTTCAAGCCATTTTTGAAAACCAGGTTCCCAGAGTAGAGCAGCCACTTGATTATCTTATTCCCCTCCTGGCAATTAGGAGAACAAAGGAAGCAATGGCTAGCTTGATGACAATCTTGAGGATTCTTATAATCACCAATTTCAGAGGTGAAGTGGTGGGGAGAGTATCCAAATGAATAATCATTAAATGTAGAAGTTTTTTTGGGGGGCGGGGGAAGGGTATCAGAAGTGGGTAATATCTGATCATTGGTGCCTCTCCCACATGCCCCAGCTATGAAGAAGCTTCTTGAGATAATGCAGGGGACGATGTGAGCTCTCATCTGCAAAAATTTCAGCCTGCCTGTGTGTACAGCTAGACGTTAGTTGTAGCTCATCTCTGTCCTTAGAATCTCAACCACTGTCTCCCAATCAACATGATTGTTCCTCTTGAGCAAACGCTGCTTGACCAAGCAAATGGCTCCACCACCAACCTAGGCACACAAATCAGAATGGGGGCATGATCCTTAACCACTTCCTCTCCCTACTCCCTACCTCTGTCAACCTCCTAGTCTGGTGGATCTACCTTCAAAAAGGTCCTTGAATCTACCACTTGTTCCAATCTATTGGTCAGAGCCATAGTCACCTTCTAACTGAGCCATGCAGTAGCTCCTAACTGCTCTTTCTGTTTTCCCTCTCCCTCCCTCTTTAAATGTTTCTTACCACTGCAGCCAAAGCAGTTTTAAAATATATATTGATTTCAGAGAGGAAAAGAGAGGAAGAGAAAGAAACATCAATGATCAGAGAGAATCATTGATCAGCTGCCTCCCGTGTGACCCCCAATGGGAATCAAGCCTACAACCCAGGCATGTGCCCTGACTGGGAATCAAACCATGACCTCCTGGTTCATAGGTTGATGCTCAACCACTGAGCCACACTGGCCAGGCCAGAGTAGTCTTTAAGAAACCCAAGTCTTGTGGGATCATTGCCCCACTTAAAATTTTTCAATAACTTCTCTTGACTTCTGGATCAAGCCCAGACTTCGATGATATGGCAGAGAAAACAGTACTCATCATATATTCTATGTTCCCCCCAGACTTGGAGCTGGCTTGAAGACAAGCAGGGCTATGTGACTGGTTCAGGACAGTAGGCTATGAGTGGGAGTGACAAGGGTCACTTCTAAAACTGGGGTATTGCTGATATATAACTAACTCTTCCGCTGCCACGAAAACTAGGGAGTCCATGTGTTCCAGATGGTGCCACTACAAGACGGCCCAGCCTTATTAGTCTGGGTTCCTGCGTGACTCATGTGAGCAGAGCATATAATGTGGGTGAGAAAGAACTTTTTCTTTGTTAAGCAGCTGAAATTTTGGAGCTGTTTATTATCATAGCCCATCGTCATTAATGGTTTACAAAGCTCTTTGAACCTGTCTTCCATTTATTTCCCTGGCTTCATTTTTTGTACACTCTCTGAGCTCCAGCTCTAGTATCCTTTCGGTCCATTGGATATAACACACTTCCTCATCCTGCAGGACTTTTGCACATGTTACTTCCATTCCCTAGAACCTCTTTCCTCCATGCTTACCTACATAACTCCTCTTCATCTGCCAGATCTTGGCTTAGGAGGCATTTGCTGAACCCAACCCAGATACGTTGCACATCATATTCTCCCTCCCCACAAAGTTCCCTCTACATTACTCGTTGTGTCATTCATCACACTTATAACTGCTTGATTAATGTCTGACTTTACGTTCTGAAAGTAGGGACCCATGTCTGTCTTGTATCTTTAGAACTTTGCACAGGACCTGATATAGCAGGCACTCAGTGAAAAATTAGTTGAATGATTGAATATTAGGATGGAGTCATCCTGAAAGGTTTGTTCTCTAGTTTTTTTCCTGGTTACTCTGACAACCTCCTGAATACTTTCCCGTTCACTCACTTGTTATGCAATTTTTTTAATGGAGTACTTGTTCTGTGTTAGGCTGGCCTGTGAAGTACAAGCAATATACCCATCAGAGATAAATGAGTGTTCAACTGGTTGCTGAAATTTTATGGAGAAAGCGGGTGTCTAGCTGAGTCTTGTAAAATGAGTGAAATTGGAACAAGTAGAGAGAATTAGGTGGGTTGGGTGTACCTGGTCGGGGCCTCAGCAGGAGAAAAAGCACTGGGGATGAGAATTTATTAGAGATAGAAGACCAGCCTCTCTGGACCCTTCTTCCGTCCCTCCTTTCCACTTTTCATCCCTTCCACACTGATACAGTAGAGGGGGTACAGAGAACCCTGAGACCTGTGCAGTATTCTGGACACTCCATTTACTTCAGAACCCGCTTTGACTCTTACGGATGAAAGAATTGGTTCCTGCTCTCCAGTTATGCCTCTGTTCTGTCTTTACCCCACTCTCCTAGAGGTCAGGGAGCATGCCTTTTACTTCTTTCATAGCTCCCCACTACTGACTTTTACTGCTTTATTTTATTTTATTATTTTATTTTATTTTTGGTTAATCCTCACCAGAGGATCTTTTTTTCCATTGATCTTTTAGAAGAGCAGAAGAGAGAAGAGAGGAAGGGGAGGGGGGAAGAGAGAGAGAGAGAGAGAGAGAGAGAGAGAGAGAGAGAGAGAGAGAGAGAGAGGAGAGAGAAACATTGATGTGAGAGAGACACATCAATTGGTTGCCTCCCACACTCACCCCGATTGGGGTCAGGGATCAAACCTGCAACCCTTGGGTACAAGGGCCGACATTCTAACCACCAAGCAATACCGGCCAGGGCACTTTTACTGCTTTATGCCTGGTAAGCACTAATAAATGCAGTTAATTACTGAATCTTCTCCTTTAAATTTGCAATGACCTGCTTCAAGCTCAGGTGAGGCTGAAGGTTACAGAGGTTAGAGACTCCAAGTTATATTAGGGAAATATCCTAGCATGTGTTCTTTCCTCTTTAAAAAAACAAAGAAGAAATATGTGCTCATTTCAGAAGATTTACAAAATACAAGACGGCAGAAAAAAATTGAAATCATCTAGAGTCTCACCATTTGGTGATATTTTTGTACATTTCCTTTTAGTTCTTTATCCATTAATATATACACATATATTTGTAAAGCTAGTTTTATATAGTTCAATTTGTTTCTTTTTATTGGCAGGAAACATATCACATCAAATTTATCATATGAACCATTTCTAAGTGTACAGTTCAGTAGTGTAAGTAATGGTTGTGAAATTGATCTCCAGAACTCTATTCCATTAAACTTTATTTTACTTGACAATAAATCATAAACATTTTCCCGTAATTCCAAAAACTCCATGATACTGAATATGCTTCTCTAATATTATTTTTAATAAGTATATATTTTCATCACCATTATTTTGAAAAACAAAATTCTAATTGTTTCTTTTTAGATTATTATGTTTTTAGATTATTTCTGTTTTTTTTATTATTATACACAATACTATGGTGAACACATGTGCACATTTTATACACATATCTCTGCATACTTATTTTAATATTACCTTATCATAAACTCTCTGATGTGAAATTGCTGATTCAAAGATGATGTACATTTTTAACATTCTTGATATGAGTTAGAGTTTGAATATGAGAGATGACACCAATTTACATTCCTATCAGCAGAATAAAAAGGCCCATTGCCCCATACTCTTGCCAGAACTGGATCTTATCATCTGGCATCTTTTCCTAGAGACTTTAGTTAGTTCTGAATAAGCCTCAGATCAAATGGAAATTGCTCTCAGGAATCACTATGTGACATGCATCTTTGTGGTAAGCTTAATCAGATGTAGACTTGATGCTCACATACCTCAACAAACAAGATTGGGAAGATGCCGATTTTGTCTCCTAACTTCCCTTCTGCCCAGTTCTCATCCACTCGGCTGATCACAGTGATGATATCATCCTGAAAGACAAAAAGTCTCATGGTCAGTGTTCTGTTTTCAGGTGGTAAAAGCTCTCAGTGGACATCAGCTTGGAGCCCCAGATGGTGTGAGGTACAAGGCATGGAGTTCTTTCATGATTTGTTTACAAAATTTTCCTGCTAGATGATCTTTTTCCATAAAGGGCCGGACTTGGATCACCAAGACACAAGAGACATACAAATAATTTGGAGGATCAGTGGACTCCAATAGGAAAACTTAGAAATGTTTCTAATTTTTAATCACCAGCAGAATCTGGCCTTTTTGTTTAAATTATTCTGATGAGGAAATCAAGATGAAAGCCTTAGGAAGACAGACGATTTTAGCACAAGGAAGAATGAATTTCATTCCTATTTTGAAGATTTTTCAGAACCTACCAGTATTCAATGTATCAAATGTAAAGTGACTTTTAACTCAATTTTTTCTTACTATAAAAGTTTATATGTAGACTTTTTTATTATAAAAGGTTATATGTAGAAACATCTTAAAATACAGATAAGCAAAACAAAGAAAAAAATTCTATCACAATATAGGTATGATCACTGTTAGCACCTTAGTTCACACCTTTTTCCCCCCAGATTATTTTCTATGAAGAGAACACATATATACATATACATATAAACATACTAATTTTAGGATAGCCTGTGTGGCTCAGTGGTTGAATGTCGACCTGTGAATCAGGAGGTCATGGTTTGATTCCCTGTCGAGGCACATGCTCAGGTTATGGGCTTGATCCTCAGTAGGGGCATGCGGGAGGCAGCCGATCAATGATTCTCTCTCATTATTGATGTTTCCATCTCTCTGTCTCTCTTCCTTACTCTCTGAAGTCAATAAAAATATATTTTAAAAAGCATACTAATTCTTAAAATCTGTTCCAAAAACATACACAAATTAATATAATAAAGTACATAAATTTTATATATAAAGCTTGATGAGTTTTTACATTAACTATATCCATGGAACACCATCCAGATCAAGAGTTATAAACATGACCAGTATCTAGAAGGTTCCTTTGTACCCTTCCTATCACCTAACAAGAGGTAACCACTCTTCTGACTCCTAGCATGCCTAGTCATTCTGCCTCTTTTTGCACTTCATACAAATGTAGGACACGTTGATTTTTTACTTAATACCATATCAGGGACTTCTTTACACATCCATACCTGTTCATCAATCTAAACCTAATAGTCACCTGCTGATCTCTTTGACCTTCTGACCCATGCCCCTGGGTAATTTAAATGAAACTAAATCTAAATCAATTTATTGCATTATATCTTTTCTTAACTTTTCTGTCCTTATTATACTTTGCAATTACATATTTAGTGGTTAGTATTTTTTTAATGCTTATCTACCCCATCAGAACATAAACTTTATGTGTGCAGGGCCTGGGTCTGTTGTGTTCATTTCCGTGTCTCCAGCACCTAATACAGTGGCCTCCCTTTAGGAGTCATCCAATAAATACTTCCTTGTTTTGTTTTTTTGCTTATCCTCACCAGAGGATATTTTTTTCTATTGATTTTTAGAGAGAGTAGAAGGTGATGGGAGGGAGGGGGAGAGAGAGAAACATTGATGTGAGAGACGGACATTGATTGGTTGCCTCCTGCATATGCCCTGACCAGGGCCAGAGATCAAACTTGCAACCCAGACAGGCACATGTCCTTGACCAGAAATTGAACCTGTGACCCTTTGGTGCATGGCTCAGCACTCTAACCACGGAGAAGCACTGGCTAGAGGGGAAAATATTTCTTGAATGAATGCATGCATGAATAGATGAATGTGTGAATAAATTGTACAATTTCATGAGATGGAAAACACTAGGGAAAGACCATGCTGAATTCATGTTTAATTTGGATATACTGAGTTCAGAAAGACCATGCGATTGCCTAGTGCAGTTTCAGCCTCCATACCCTTCCAGAATGAATCAAATTTTCTCTTTTGGTTCCTTGTCATAACTTACCATTTATGTGTCTGTTTCTTCCACTAGTCTGCTGGGTCTGTGATGGTAGGAACAGTGACTCATCACTTTGTTCCCAGTGGAGAGGTTGGCGCATGGATGGGCCTACTGAATGAATGAGCTGTAAGTGCCCCAGAGAGGGGCAAAAACAAAACCCCAAAACCCAAAACAGGATGCTCCCTGCCTGTGCCTTCCCCCAGCTGCGTCCCCAGAGCACAGTGTCTAACGCCTGGCACACAGTGAACACCGAGTAAAGGCTTGGGGAATTGAACTGTCCTTCCTCTGACTGCCGTTGAAATATGGCCTGTGCTGTTTGGGCTACAGAATGACCTTCCTTAGGGGACTCACTTGGAGGTGCCAAGACAAGAATGATCAGTATTTCAAAATGTGGAGGGCAGTGAGGTTATCTAGTAGGAGGGAATGTGAAGTAAATCTCATCTCTGGCAGTGGTGGAATAAAAATGTCCTACAAAGCAGACCTTTCCCGAGCCAGTGGGACAGTACCACTTCTTGTATTTGATTTATCATAAGTAGCAAAGAATAAAAACCACCCCAACTATGGTTTCTATGAGGAAATTTGAATGTTGAAGGAATAAGAAATATTGAACAGAGAATTAAAGGAGTCTAGACTTTAGTACAAGTATGCAGGCAAAACATTTTTAGGGTGATTAATGTCCTTGGAAAGTATATCTTGTAAGAGTTTTTTTAATGATAGACATACTATTTTAAAAAAATATTTTTATTGATTTCAGAGAGGAAGGGAGAGGGAGGGGAGACAGAAACATTATTGATGAGAGAGAATCATGGATCAGCCATCTCCTGCACACCCCCTAATGGGGATTGAGCCTGTGACCCAGGCATGTGCCCTTGACTGGAATTGAATCTGGGACCCTTCGGTCCACAGGCCGATGCTCTATCCACTGAGCCAAACCGGCCAGGGCTTGTAAGAGGTTTTTATGTTTAAAGGTATAATTATGCTATGGTGTGTGTTTGGAGTGTCTTGAATGTAACATTTACAACAAAATAGATGGTTGTAAATGAGAAGAATTAGGTGATGAGAACTTGGTCAGTAAGAATAGCCTTACAGATACATGATAAAGAGAGAAGAACTGTAGTGTTGCAAGCATGCTATCAAATTGTGTTTGTAATTTTCTGTCCACATGTCTGTTCCTCCCACTACTCTGTCTGAGGTCAGGCACTGGGACTTGTTCATGCTGTATCCCCAGTGCCTGCAAATAGGTGCTCACATGCTGGGATTGTGAGCTGGATCCCCAGTAGGGGGCATGCAGGAGGCAGTCAATCCATGATTCTCTCATCATTGATGTCTCTATCTCCCTCTCCCTTCCTCTCTCTGAAATCAGTAAAAATATATATTTTTAAAAAGTAAAAAAGAAAAAAGAAAAAGAATAGGTGCTCAAAATGATTGTAGAATGATGAATGTGTAATGCTTATTCTCATAATTGCAATAGAAAAGGCTTAAGGATTTCTGTCAAACTGCTATTAATAGATTTCTCTAGTGACTTCATGTCTATGTAGTTTGAATTATACACACACATTGCATATACAAGCACACATGTGTGTATACATACATATATACATAGATATATACACTTCATATAATTTAAAAATATAAACAAATATTAAGCAAACAACTCCAGGTTCTGCACAGTCTCTACATGGTCATTAGTGACATTGGTGGCTGCCCAGAATCTTACCTTGAGGAAGGTCAGGCAGTCCTGGTTGTCACTCTTGTCCTTATTTCGTAGGTCAAAGTTGTAGAGGGCCCGGCAAAGTGGGGGTGGCTGGGGCAGCTGCTTGATGACCTCCACAGAGCTGGCCGGGAAGAACCCACTGACTCCATTGATCTCCCCCTGGTACCAGTTCTCGTCCAGCTGTCTCCGAAGGAGAATGACATCGCCCTTATTAAACCTCAGGTCACCGGGATTCTGCCCTCGGTAGTTGCATAAGGCCTTTGCTCGAGGCACCTGCCAATAAAACATGTACTTGGCTTAGAGGCTGGAGGAACAGAATGAATCATATTAATAATTAACTACTGAACCCTCCCAATGTGCTACGTGCTAAATGCGGATCATCTTGTGGATCTGTAGACACCGAGTGCAATGTTTACCACAAAGTAGGTTGTTATGAATGAGCAGAATTATGGGGTGAATTGTATGTAGAATTATATAGTAGAATTAGATGACCTGTGGACCATATCTTTGAGATGGGCACTCTAATTATGCCCATTTCTAAGTAGGGTGACTGAGGCACAGAGTGGCTGAATAACTTGCCTGGGGTGACACAGTTGGGAAATGGCAGATATGGGATCTGAACTCAGGCCACCTGAGTTTAGAGCTCCTGTTCTTAACCACTATGCAGGGTCAGAGTTCTGGATTTAACTCCACATGTATTTGAGTGAGTCAGCGACTCCGGGGCCTGGACGCGGACTGTGAATTTTGGCTCCACCTCTTTTCCCTTGAGTGACCATGCTCAAGCTATTTACTCTTTTCTCAAACCACCTTCATTTATAAAATGAGGTAATAGTAGAACACCCACCTCATTAGGGAGTTGTGAGGAATCAGTAATATTCATAATAGTTTTAGCTTATGGCTTGGTCCATAGTATGCGCTCAATAAATGATCTCCCTTATTATCATCACCTATAATGGAGGGCTGATGATATCAGTTCTACATATTCCTCAGTATCGATGGGAAGAAAACTGGGCTGAAAACTCCCCGAAGATAGAAAGTGTTACATGAGGGAGGTGCAGCGGAACTTGTCTTCAGCCTTCTCTAGAAACTGTAAGCCTCACCAGTGTTAGCCTCTTTAGGAAGTGCAACTGACACATCATTAGTCAGAAATCAATCATCAATATTTAAAATTTACCTAAAGAATCATCATTTGTTAAATCTGTTGTCTGTCTAAATCATTATTTCAGTCAAATGCCTTTCTTTTTATCCTAATCGAAACGGTTTCTCCACACAGAAAGGACCTCACTCTGCTCTCCCGGAAGCCAGTTTGACAAACTGAACGTTCCAATAACTTAGGTTTACTGGCAAGCCCGCCAGTTTCACCTGGGATTGTGCTTCACGTTGTGCTTTCTCAGCACTGGGGTGGAACAGTCCCCTCTCCTGGGGGCAGCCTTGCTTTTGTAAGGGGGTGGAAGAAAACATTCATTCTGTTCTTCAAGGACCTTCTGAGGCTGCAATGTTCATTTGAAAAGGAATTGCAAGCAGTTTAGGGGTAGAGCCAGGACAGGAGCAGCAGCGTCTTGCTGATGGATGGCAGAGAATGCTTTCCTGCTGGTCCCTGGGTACAGTAAGAGGAACCCAAAAGGGTAGGAAACCACAGGAACACAGCTCATCCTCAGCAAAGATGTGCGTACTAGGAGGTTTACAGGGCCGTGGGTAAATGGAATTGACTGAATAAATTATGATGCACCCATACAATGGAATACCCTACAGTTATTAAAATTGATGATGTTGATCTATAATTAATAGCATTGAGTTACTCAGAATAAACTGCTAAGTATAATAGAAGAGGTTAAAACAGTGTGTAGACTAAACTTTTATTATAAATACATATATATATTTTTACCCAGGGAAAATGCTAAATGCTAGATGGCTATCCACCAACATTTTAAGAGGGGTTTATTTCTAAGTGGTGAGATTTTTGAATACTAAAAAAATTATTTCCCTAAGTGCTTAGCTGTGTTTTCTAACTTTTCTACAATAAATTGATTGTATTGCCTATTATAATTGGATAGTAAAAATAAAATAAATAAAACTGAGGAATGAGAAGTGAAAGACAAGGGAAAGGAATTTGGGAAGGAAATAAGCCAAGCTGAGTAGGATTGGCAAACTACACAACCAACTTTTTGGACACATTCTTACCTGAAAAATAAGCAGGTAGATAGATGCTGGATGAGAGCAAAAGATGTGTGTGTGTGGGGGTGATCTAAATGGGCTACACTCCCAGGGTTGGCTGTATCAGGGACAAAGTTATCCCTCCATATTCCTTCTTTCCAATTTTCCATTGAAATAAATCACTTTTTTTTTCTGGTTACATGACCACTTAGAATAGTAGTCACATTTTCTAGCTCCCTGACAGCTATGTTCTGGCCAAAGGGGTCTAAGCAACTTTTAGGAAGTGTTTTTACTGAATGAGACCAATTTTCTCTTTTCTTTCCTCATTTCGCTATGTGGAATGGAGATGTGATGGCTGGGGCTCTAGCTGCCATCCCGAACAGTGAGAAGGAAGGTCACACCTACAGAGGAAAGGAAGTAGTCTGGGTTGTGGAGTCACTACTGAAGTCCTGAACTACCTTACTGCCAGACTTTTGTCTGAAAGTTAAATAAACTTCCATCTTGTTTAATGCACTGTTATTTTGGATTTGAAAAGGAAAACAGAAGAAAGGAAGAATTTTAAAATTAAGAAAAAAATTAAAGCCCCTTTGATTTTGTATTATGATAATAACATCACTAGCTAATATTTATTGAGTATTTTAATGACTACTGAGCATGTATATAAAACTAAAATTGCACTAAACGCTTAAGCCTCTTTGAAGATGCATTGACTCTGAAACGCTGAGATAGTGCCAATGGTTTTGTTGACCATAAATGACCCTAGGACACTGGTGGACTGTCCAGTGGGAGTTGGAGAGAACACATAACATTACAACGCATGTTGTCAAACACAGTTAATCTCCAGTTTTCTGACACCAAGTGCCAACTGTGGTACTTTCTTCCCTTAGGATGTTAATTCATAATTGTTTCTTTTTTGTTGATGTGTGGTACCTTTTCCATTGATTTAAATGTATACATTACTTTTACTCCACATGGCCAGCAGTACTCATATATTCCCAAGCCACTGGACCACGTGAGTGCATAAATGCCACTGTTTAATGAAATACTTATATTCAGGCCTGTAAAACCTCCCAGTATGAACTTGGGGTACTTCTGCAAATGATTCTGACTTCTGGGTATTTACATGGACCATGGTGATATCCAAAAGAAAAATGCTTTTTTATTTATAGATTATTTCATTGAACTTTGTAAAATGGTTATCATTAGTGTATTTACTGTGCCCTCCCAAACTCATCATCTTTTCTCTACCTCCCCTCAGTATAGGTAAGTATCGTGAAAGTGAATTGTAAATTCTATTTTTAACACAAAGACTCTTTTCATCTTCTTTCTCTTCATTCTGGACAACCCCTCCCCTTGTATTCTCAATTCTACATTCATACCCATAGGACATATTGCTTCCACGCTGTAGAGGAGGAGGAAGGGAAGGGGAGGGAGAGAATCTGAAAAGGGGAAGGACATGAACAATTATTGTTGTTCTGGAGAGCCACAGAAAAATTTCTGGCATTTGCCCAATTGCACTTTCCATGTATTATCTCAATCATATGATCTCTTGTACCAGTGAAGTAGATGGTACACCCCATTTTACTGAAGAAGCAGCAGAAGTTGTGAGGTGTTTGATGTTATACCGAGAGGTCACACAGCTTGTGTATGGCAGCCCCGAGACTGACTTAGGCTCATTTGACCTCAAAGCAGCCTGGCTCTTCATCCAGCTGAAGTCACCTAAGTGTGTATTTCCATCATAAAACTCATTGGGGGCTCTGTTTTGTAATCAAAATCGGAACAGAGTGTGAATGTAATTTGCTTGCTGCTGGCTGCATTAGCATGAATTATTGAGCTCCAGAGCCCTCACATAAAAGTTAAGCACCTGAAGAGACTCAGCTGGTTGATTCTATCCGGTCCTCAGCTGTTCTCTCAAGGGAGAATGACTCCAAGTGCCACATCAGCAATCACCGTTGTCTTGTTGGTAACAGCGTTCATCACCCATAAGTGTTTTCCCAAGTGCAGGCAGGAGGGGGAAGGGGGAAGTAGGAGTGGAGGTCTCACAGCCAGGTTATTACCACACTCTCTTTCTTGGTGTTTTCCTGAAAGTCAGATAATCCAGTGGAAGCTAGTATGTACCTAAGAAGCTTTCCTTTTCTGGGATTCAAAAGACTCAAGATTTCTATGCTCCTGTAATTTTCTATTGCTGTGTCACCTCATAGGGTTTGAAAGCCACAAGGGCCATGCTTCTTGGAGGAACAATGCATAGAAACAAGGACGCAGGGCATGTGGAGGTACTCATAGTAGAATTATGTTGGAGTAATTATGAATGTTAGTAGTAAAATTATGGCAAGCATCCCTTCTTTGCTCTTCTGATGGGCATGTCATTCACTCTGGTCTCACCACACACACACAGAGTTATGCGGTCCAGGCAGGCCAGTTAGAGTATCCCAATCCCCCTGGCGCAGTGGTTGGTACAGGTCAGGCATGTGCCCCAAACAAAGCCAATTAGAATCTTCCTTGAAGTTTGATATATAGATGCCAAGAAGTGAGTCTTACTTTTGGATCATGAGCCTTGAGTGATGAACTGTGGACTACCATTGGTGATATTTCCCAACCAGTAGACACACCTTCCTGATTACAGCTGCAGAAGGCAGCAGAACCAGAGCTATAGTGAGATAGATAGGTAAATAGATAGGTAACTGGATAGATGGAGCCTTGACAATAACATTTGAATACCTAGATCCAGTTGTCCTTGAAGGATACTCGGTTAAATGAGACTTTATCCCCAATGTGGTGTTTATTACTTAAACTACTTGGAGTTATTTTCTGACACTTGAAACTGAACAAGTCCTGACTAACACATATTAAAAATCCAGAAACAACAAAACTGGGTAACAATGGAGTATTCAAATAGCAGACTTCAGAACAGCATGAGGTCTAGCTGGCAAGAGCCCTGAGTTTATTTCCCATTTGAAAATAATGAAGGAGGCATGTGGCTGATAACAGGGTGAGAGGAAAGGAGCCCAAGTAGAGCAGAACCACCCCAGTGAGGCACACAAGGGGAAAAGTGAGCTGGGGGGTGAGAACACAGCCTGCTATGTGCCCAGCTCTTCACCGTGCTCTAGTGACACTTCCCA